AAATGAATGCGTGACGAACGAACCCCAAAGGACGTCTGCCGGGAGGCTAAAGACAATCAAGCACGCCAAGTAACTGAAGTAGGCCAAGACAAAAAAGTAGGCCAAGACACTCAAGCACGCCAAGTAACTGAAGTACCGTAAAATTCCGAAAATAAGCCCCTCCAAATGTAAGCCCCACACACTCCCAACGCAAAAAGCCTTCCGCTAAATCGCCCCTCCAAATATCATCCTCGGAGACCCAGGGGCAGATAGTGGGGGCGAGGGAAAGTCTAAACAGGCGGGAAAATATGGCACAAGAGAAAAGTAAAGAACGGTGAGAAGAGCCCCTGGGGACAATGTCTTACCAGACCAGTTCCAAACGGTCGACGCCGTTCTGTCTTCTGATTGGTGCCAGAAAAACACAAGTTTTCTGGCACCAATCAGAAGACAGAACGGTGGCGACCGTTTGGAACTGGTCTGGTAAGACATTGTCCCCAGGGGCTCTTCTCGCCGTTCTTTTCTTTTCTTCGTGCCTTATTTTTCCGCCCGTTTAGACTTTCCCTTGCCCCCACTATTTGCCCCTGGGTCTCCGAGGATGTCCAAATATAGGCCCCCTAGGGGGTTTGTACTTGGAAATTGTCCTCAAATACAAAGTAAAACAAAGAAAAACAGTAAATTTCCTTCCAGGAATAAGGCTAGCCCAATCGATTTTTAAACGCAAATTTGCCTCCGTACATAAGCCCCCCCGAACATAAGCCCCTCCAAAAATAAGCCCCTCAAAAAGGGCCTTTGAAAAATATAAGCCCCGGGGCTTATTTTCGGAATTTTACGGTAGGCCAAGACACTCAAGCACGCCAAGTTACTGAAGTAAGCCAAGACACAAAAGCAAGCCAAGACACTCAAGCAATCCAAAACACACAAGTAGGCCAAGACACTGAAGCAAGCCAAGTACCTCGGTACACTAGAAGAAAGACTATAAGAATCTATATATCGGTACACTATAGGAATCATATATGAAGTAACTACCGCCTTTTAAAAAAACACCGCTGACCACGCCGAAAGCTTAACTTTTTCACTTTCTCTCACTACTTTCTCTCTCTGAGCTACTACTAGGCTATGTGTTATAGCCCACTAGTAGCGAAAAGCCGGCCGGCTTTGAAAACCAAAACAATGGCAGCTGAATCGCGTTTTGCTAGCTTAAGTTGTTTTGTCTCGATATTTATGACTAACTAGTTGGATTTTACTAAAACAATTATTCCTCTCGCCCGCATGGCCTCTGAGTCAGTAGCCCATTCGGCCTTCAGCCTCATGGGCTATTGACTCAGAGCCCATTCGGGTTCGAGGAATAATTGTTAAATATTTACCTTTATTCCTCTTCATCTTCCCCTAATAGCCTTCATTCACCTTCATCCCCCTTCGTCTACCTCCATTAGCCTTTATTCACCTTCGTCTCACTTTATATCTACGCCCATTAGCCTTCCATCCTTCATTCACCTTCTTCCCCCTAAGCTTTCATTCTTTTATCCTCGGAAGTGGATTGGTCTGCGGCTAACTTCAAAACGACGCGGAGCCATTCCTGCATTTAACACCATCACAAGCAATTCTCGCTACACCTACTTGCAGGTTAAACGTCAGAACCGTGATCTTATCATGGCTGTAAATATGAGCACAATGCTTCTTTATATGTATCAAATAACTTACTGTAAGTTGTAAATACAAGTTGGAAGTATTTGGGCGTAGGAAAGAACGGGCGCGCGAGACACGCGAGGGCAGAGGGAGCTCCCTCTCCCCTAGCGCTCCCCGTTCTTTCTTGCGCCCACTACTTCCAAGCGCCTGCTTTAGTTGAGTTTGACTGTCTTTTGTTTTGGTACACGTGCATGGGGAGGCGATTAGTCGCGTTACGAACGCTAAAGAATCTTGCAGTTTTAGAGGCAGACAAAAAGCAATGAGGTAACTGTTGATGAGGAGGAACACAGAGGATTCTGCAATCTTTGACACAATAAAATGGAACAGCAAACTCCCAATCCTCCAGCCCTGAAATCAAGGATGAATCCGCTCGTATTTTCTCATCTTTGTATGTTTTTTTGGGTGGGTCCAAATTTTTCCTTTTTATTGTCCAAGGTTGTGTAAACGAGTCTGGGGAGCTCTTCCGCTGCCAAGCCCACACGGATTCCGTTATCCCATGCCCCACCCCGCCCCCCACCCACACTGAATAAATAACTACTGACAAATATATTATTGATATATTTTTATTAAGTCGGAACTGTACTACATAACTTTAATACCAACGCTATTTGATGAATCTTAAAGGACGTCAGCCAAGTGTGTGTTGATGAACAGACAAAGACAACTTATACAAATATTTCCTCTACTTTATACACTTATGGACCCACTTATGCCAATTATAGCCTGAATTTCCGACGATTAATCCCTTTTTACTCCCTCAGAGTAATCGTCTGAATTTCAGAACATGCCAATTAGTCATTAAGTTGTAGATGAGCCTCTTATTAGTGGCAAGAGGCACTAGAATGGTTAGACACCTTAATAAAAACTGTGTACTATAAATAATGTATAGCTTACGCAATCATGTTTTTTCGTTGCCCCTAGTAACCTTCCCAGACGCCTTTGCAAAAGTTAACTTGGCCCAGCTAACTTCTTGATTCCAAAGTGGCGAATATGACAAAAGTGGAAACATAGCTTAAATTTAACCAAATCACGGAGAATTTTCCTGGATTTTAACTTTCTTTTCAACCATTATATTAAACAGTACCTTTTTTGTGGCCTTAAATCATTATATTATTTCACAATTTATAAAGCACCTATCAACTTAAATGGTGACAAATAAAATCCTTTATAACTTAAATAACACGTAAAAAACATTGAAGGTTTTTAAACGCAAGGGATTGGGGTGGGCGGGGGGTTACTTGAGGTATGTTGGAAGCACTTCTTGCTACACTGCGTGTGAAGCTGTATATGTACCAGTGCAGTTGATCGCAAACATTTCCTCTCTTCCATAACAAGAAACAAATGCAATAAATTATTTCTGAGGGTTCCAGCTATTGAATTTGTACTGCTTTAAAATAACGATCTCACTTGTTCTTTTTTTCATCTTTCAGCAACACTCACTCAGCTGTCTTAAAATATTGTAATCCATTTAACAAGACTATGGTTATAAAAAGTATGGTATCACAGGTTTTATGAAAAATAAGATTTAATTTTTCAAAAATACCTTTTTTGCCAATCTTGCCTTCTAACCTCAATAACGGAATAATTATTTTATATAACTATAATATTTCTATGTAAGATAAACATTTCTGTTATGTACATTAATTAAATCCGTTATAATATCAACATGATGATAAAACAGCAGTGACAATACAGCTGCTCTTAAAATGTCAGGAATGTCTGACTTATAAATATACCTAGGTCGTCAAATATGCATGTACGTGCTCAGATCATCTTCAAAGTGAAATTTTTATGCTACAACATGAACTTCGAGGAAACGTGTACATTCAAAAATATGATCATTTTTTATGTTTGGCTCCACATTAAAAGGAATAAATAAATAACATCAATAAAAAATGACCTGAAATCACAAACATTTCTAAACACCAATATAATTGGCCACCACAGAGAGCTCTATCTTCCACTAATTTTTAAATGTAGAATAACTATATTTTATAGTTCTTTAGGAAAGACCTTACACACTATGAAACTTAAATAAAAGATGGTGTGATGCTGAATAGGTTATTTCTGAGTTCCAAAAATTCTCACTTTCAAAACAACGCCAAGTGAAAATCCTTTCTTGTGAAAATGAGTTTTACTTGCATGAGAATAAAAAAAATCATTTTCATACCAATAGCTTACTTAGCGTCGCTTTGAAAAAGAGGTTTTGGGCAACTCAGCAATGTCCTAATCTGGCCCTACCTATCCCAACCGAATTTTATATTTTGGGATGTTTTATGCAAAATTTGATAAAATATGACCATGAAAATTCGTTTATGAGATCTGACCACTATAGGTGACATTCACATGTGTACAGCGTACTTCCTATTTCTCAGACTTATTATGACGCTTATTCCCAGCTTCATAGACTAAACCTCTGAAAAATAATAATTTGAATGCTCTATGTTTTCTGAAAGCACTGTCAAAGCTCCCTTTTGCAGACAATGGTTATCTCAAGAGGCCAAAAATGTATTGGTTTACTTGAGCTGGTAACTTACAGAAATAGGATTTATATTAGAGTGGAAAGTTGAATAACATTTTTTTTTTGTCATGCATGCTGTAACTAGAGCTGTCTTCTTAGTGGTAAATTGTGTGCTCAAGAATGCTGAACATTAAAGCTTCAACTGTAATGGAAGATAGAATAGAGCTTCAAATGTAATAGAATAATGAATTTGCTTTATAATGATGTCTTTGTTAAGACTTGTTATTATTCATTCAAAATATTTCCCTGATTCTGATTGGCTAAAAGCACGTGCATAATTCACCATAACCAACTACTGATGACCAAATTTGGAAGAATTTTGCGTTTCTTTCAGGTTAATGCACCGTTAACCGAGAAGACCTGGGGACAAGGTTGAGATGTTTTGGTTGTGAACTTGAAAAATGGTGGAAATTTCACTCGTTTCAAGAATAAGAACTAGGCGAAAAAGTGGCTCAAAACATGGTAAGAACAGCAAGAAGACAACTCGAAGGGCAACATCTGCTATTTGGAGAATGTTTGCGGAGCTGAACAACCCTAAACGTGCACTATCGAAGATGAACTTAACATCGATGGATCGATGGAGGTAAGTATGTTTTAGCCATGTTTTTAAGCTAGGAATTATTTTGAATGAATAATAAAACAATTATAGAATTCGGCTTTCGTATCATAATATTATGAAGAATTATGGAGATCTCGGAGGGTGTTATCCGCCTCGGCCTACGCCCTCTATGGATAACACCCTCCTCGATCTCCATAATTCTTAATAAGATACTCAGTCTCATTCATTAATTGTTAATTAAAACAAACTAAAAAACTAAACCTCTATAAGCCTGTATTGCTTGCGTAGATTGGACACTGGATCCCTGTACAATAGAGGGTCAAGTCGCACTTGAGATTTGACCAGCGGCATATAGCCAAAAATATCCACTAGTGTCTCCATGCATCTCTGTCGGTGTTCAAAGAGCTGTACAAGTTTGGAATGCTTTGTATTCTTGCTGTACAAATCTTCAAATGTTTTTTGGGGTAAGATTTTAATTGGTGGTTTTCTTGTGATGTCTGCGACAAGGAAGTTCATAGCAATGTCCTCACAGGTACCATGGTGTTCTACCATACGATGAACTCTTGGTGGAAGGAAATGGGTGTACATGTAATTGTAGTATCTGCAAGTTGAGTGATATTTAAGATTAAATACACATGTGTGAATTGAGTAGTGATCATGTTATGACATAATTGCCCTCATCCCTAAAGAAATATTTTAATAGGCAAAGAAGACCAGCCTGTTCCAGGCACTCAGACAGGGCTGAAACTTGGCAGTCGCCAAGTTGTCAGTGGTGACTTAAGATGCAGCTTGGAGATGAAAAATTATGTTTGAATCACCCATCTATGATAGAAAAATATAAATTCGAATTCAGCCTGATGTAAGCTTATATTATGACTGCAAGTACAAACTTAAAATAGAAATAAAAATGACAAGTTGTTTAGTCGGACTACCTTTCTTTCTTTTCCCTGAATCTAATTTCTTCAAGTCCCATGAACATTTTGTAGTTTTAAATGGAAAAGGATTAAACCCTAAACTCTGAACCGATTCGTGAGACTCAAGTCTTTCCCACAGTACTTTGCTTTCGTCACTGCTGCTTCCTTGGCTCCCACGGGTGAACAGCTTCGGAATACTAAATCAACTGGAAAAGACTGGCATAATGTGGGGATTTCTCTCTGATTGTGAGCTGCCTCCAACGAAAAAAACACGACATAAGGAAGATGGGCAGGAATCAAACAGAAATTACGAGGAAAACAAAAGATCACAAACATTTCAAAACAGTTTGACGAAAGGCTAGGGAGACCATGGCTCAAAATCCGTTAAAGGCACATTCCTCTTTCCTTTAAATATACTGGAAATCCAGGGCCACTTAATGTTGACCTGGGTGACAAAAAATTCAAGGAAACTGGCCCAGCTGGCCACCAAGCACTGGAGTTAAGTTTCAGCCCTGTGCAGAAAGTAGAACGCAGGTGAAAAATTGAAGAGGACAAAACAAGGGGAGACTGGAGAGGGTTTTTCTCTTGTTTTCCCCTGTGCACGATTTAACTTGCTCCCCACCATCAGAACGCCATGCTCTACTATCTGAATGCCTGGAACGGACTAAAAAAAAGACCTTCATTTTTAACAAAGCAAGTTTGAAAAACTCACTGAAATAAGAAAAATAAAATAAATTCCTCATTACTTGTGATAAAAAGCTCCACTTGTTAAGATCATAGAGAAGCGATTGCTCCATTTAGATGAAAACATCCACTGTGATTTGCTACCACTCCAATAGTGATCTCTTCCTGGAAATCCTACAAGACGGTCTGGAAACATTTTCCACACTGAGAAGGCAAAATCAATCTAGTGGAATAAGAAAAAAGGCAAGATGAATGAAAGAACAAGACTGTTAGTAATACAGAGTAACCTCCACTAAAGGCCATCTGCCCACTGCAGCCAGCTCTCTTCAACGGCCACTTTTTTCAGCAGGCAAGCCTTGTATAAACCTGTCGACAACAGCCACTTTCTTCTGTTCCCATGGTGGCTATTGTGGGGGGGGGGAGGGGTCAATATTGTATTATATCCATTTAAAAAAATTAAAACCATCTTGTAAAAGCCTACCTCATCAGAGTTCAGTTTGATTTCCTCATCCAGTGATAAGATTGCAGTTGTTTCAATCACAGTCCTGGGCATAAATTTAGAGTTTCCAGTCTGTATGAAAGCAAAGACAAAAACCATACTGACAATGAAAACAAGGACAACATGTACCTTATGCAGTACCCTTGGGTCCAGGTAAAAATTCAAATTTTAAGGTAAGAAACTTAAACTATATGTACAAATCCTTCTAACCTGCAAGTTTGAGAAAAAGGAAAGCAAAATAAAGAATAATCAAAGAATTTGTTTTTGACCTTGTTTTGAACTCTCAACCTCTGGATTAGATTACACCAGGAAGGAGAAAGCAGGTCATAGAAAAAAAAATGTGATTGTAATTTGTTTACCTATGGAGCGCTTAGGAGTTCTTGAGAACTCATTGAAATGTGTCTGTGCATTCCAGATCGAAATGGAATTTGGAAGTATTGGTTTTTAAGGAGAGGGGAAAACTGGAGTACCCGGAGAAAAACCTCTTGGAGCAAGGGAGAGAACCAACAACAAACTCAACCCACATATGGCGTCGATGCCAGGATACGAACAAAGGCCACATCGGTGGGAGGCAAGTGCTCACCACTGCACCATCCTTGCTCAGTTAAGTCATGGCAATCATGGAGATAAAATGTGGTAATTCTAACTTCTTAGCCCACAAAATGCAATACAAATTACATTTAATTTGCATTGTGTGAGGGGTATAATTATTACTTACATGTACACACTTATTGCAAATTTGCTGCTTAAAAATAAGGATTTATTGACTTTGACCAACATTAATTATTGCTTTCCTGTCATTGCAATGTCCAGTCTAAATTTAACAACTGAAGTTCATGTTAAAATACCTCTACTCATACCTTAGATTCTGGTCTGACAATCATTAATGGAATACTGATTTGAGGCCATCTCTTGTTGTGAGCTATAGGTGCATCAGATGTCCATAATACTACAATCTGTATAACACAATTCACATGTTTATTCTACAGTGTAACACTATTACTGCTAAATTTGTTCAAAAAAACAAAGGCATTTTGGCCATTTGTGCACAGAAAGGAGCTCTTTGGGATCCTTGGTTTAAATTTTATTTTCCTTTGGTTTGGGGTACAGTAATGTGCAATAATGAGTTTGAAACCTAAAAGAAAAGAGAATTTAAACCAAGGATGCAATAAATTATTCCATAACATATACATGGCAGTTAAATGTTAATCTGTTCAACTTAGACCACGGATGCTATTACCTAATGAGGAGAAACTTTGCAAGGTTTAATCGCATAGCAACTACTACCAAGAGGTACAGTACATGGGGTGGGAGATAAAGAGAAAGCTCTTGATAATGTCAATAATTTTTTCTTTGTTTTACAAGTAAAGATACCAAGCAATTTACAAAGAGAATCATACAGTTCATCAACAGTCACTTGGCAGAAAGCCCTCCCTAAGAGTCACTCATCCTAAGCTAACTGTTCAGTTCAACATCCAGTTTTACAACAGTTTGAGCACACTTCATGTATCTACTGTGTAAGTTAAGATTTTAATCCACTATATACATGAGAAAAAAATGGAGGAGAAAAAATCCCAGAAATCACAGGAAGTAGACTGGGTGCTGGGTTCCAACACAGTTGCAGACCAGAGACTCACACCCACTCTAGCCAACAACAGTCCAAGTTAAACTCCTTGGTAATTTGTTAATAACCGACTGGTTTACTTCCTGCCAGCTGGGTCTTTCAATGATAGAGTTGAGTCTCCCATACAGGTGACCAGTGGTTGCTTGTGGGAGGTGGCCACTCAAGAATCAAACTACAAGGGAGCCTCTTCCAAGAAGAGTTCTAGACACATCTAGCTTTTGGAAAAGAATTCTCCAGCTTTTGCCTGACAATAGCAACCCCAAAGCTGTGATCTACAAAAAACTGAGGGAAGCTATCTACCCCTCCCCTAAGCCAATATTTTGCCTTAAGTGAAAAGTAAGTGTTAATGTTGGCATAGGGGAGGGGAAACTGCCCACCTACCCCTCCCCTAAGCCGACATTTTGCCCTAAGTGAAACGTAAGTGTTAATGTTGGGTTAGGGGAGGGGTAGGTGGGCAGTTTCCCAGAGGCGTAAAACGATCCAAACAAGCTACGATTTCAGTTCCCATAAGAAAAGGTTAAGGCAACCGCGGTCACTGAGCATTAATAGAGCACAGCCTGAACCCTGATTACATGGTTGTTTACCTTAGCAACAAACTTTGATTGTCCAACATTCCTGATTAATCTAAACAAGGAAGATGACTCTCTGACAACAGATGTGGTAGTGTGGATGACAGCAGTGAATTGTTCCTGCTCTGTCTTCAATTTGATGTGATAGAATGGAAAATCTTCGGGATCCTTGGAATAACGTGGTGTACTGACCAGAGCTCCAGGAAATGTATTCCATACTGGCTGAATGGCAGCTTTGTTTGGGAATAATCTTGACCGTATCACCTTTCATTAAAACAAGAAAAAATCTCATTAGCAACTGTCAAGAGTGCACTTTAACCGTGCCCTGATACAGAAGTTTACTAATTCAGTGAAGTAACACAACATCACTCCAGTTTCATCAAATGACTCAAATAAAATCACAGAACACAATGTATGGTTATTTACCTCTAAGGTAGTCAGCAAGATTTTCTCCACAGATGAAAAGTATGCTTCCCACAAAAACAATGCCTGTTGCTTTAAATAAAGGATTTGCTCTTGGCTGTAGGATCTTACTATGGATGGAATTTCTGTCAGAAGCCGTTCATCTGCCTGGATTACCGCTTTACGCCAATCAATCAGCTCAGAGAATGGCAGTTCCCAGCCATTACTCAACAACACTGGAATACAACCAGCTTGAAGAGATTCCAGGAACCTGAAAGATCCAAGACGCCTTCCCCGAGGCACCAGGCAAAATGTGGCATTTTTAAGAAGTTCATCATAATCATATCTGAAAGGAAATTACATTTTGAAAAAATATTACTAATATTAGCAGGTTCACACTCCAACTGCCTTTAACCACCAGGCCTAAACCTGCCAACTCTCATGCATTATGCTTGAGTCACATGCCTGGGGACTACAGACATCATTCTCACTCATCAAGGACAATATTTACTTTTTACATGTATGTCTGACTCACACATCCAGACGATTTTGTTCTTGTTCATGATCAATAAAAAAAATTCAATTCCATATCTTTAAAATATTCCAAAAAGGCATGTAACGTTGACTGTGTGTCTCAAGTGTATCAAAACACGCTAAAGCTATTGCTTTCAGATTGCATTTTAATTGTAGGGACAAGACATGAGCTCCATATTGGAGCTATGGAAATGTTGAAAGGAAGTTGGAATATCTTCGAAAAAATTTTGAGCAGCGGCCAGATGTATTTGCAAAATTGTCAGAAATTTTTAGGTTGTTTTGGAAACCTGGCAGTCATACAGAAATCCCTCACACTTGTCTCAGAAAAAATTGGCAGGTACATACCAGCCCTTGGCCAGAGACGAATGGGTGGACACCCTGTTTTGGGCAGACACTGAAAACAATGCATCCCACACTTTACTTTGCATTTATTGTTTTCTGTAACAAGCAATCGTGCATTAAGCAGACACCTTGTTTCTTGAACTGTTTTGTGTAACCAAGGCTAAACACTGAATGCTTTTGCAGGTCCACGAATTGTCAACAAAATGGCAAAAGTAATCAATCAACACTTTACCAGGGTAATTATTAGGCATTGGAGATCAGAGAATTCTCCATTCACTAAGCAAAATTCTCCGGCTGACGTTCAGTAGTCTATGACTATTTTTTTTTGTTATTCAGATGAGGAGCCTCTTTCAAAATATTCTCCCATAACATTACACATTTCTCCTGCTACCAGAATTTTTAATGAAAACTCTGCTTTACCCTGAAGCAATAAGGTATAAATTCTAGATTATTCCAATGCCTGAAATATGAAAACAAAAAAATCCATTTAATCCAGGTAGATTTTCTACAACATCATCCATCCAACATGCAAATTCAGAGTCACGTATTTTTTTAGAAAGAATACAACTTCCACTTGATTTGTACTTTCAGCTATTAAATATATTGCATGTCTGATGCAAATCACGTAATCAGTTGTGGTCAATTTCAGGTCATCTATAAATTAGGATTTATAAACTGTGAGTCAAATACCATCTTTGTTAGGATCAATAATTCTTTAGTAAAATGGTATGAAATCTTGATGACATATGTTTTAAGTCAAAGAGAGTTGGATTGCAATATCACACACTTCCAGGTTAACAACAGCAAGCAAAGAAAGAAATGTGATAGCCTCACATAGCTAGTGGATTTGGTTATCGGACTAATGAAATCTGTTCTTAACTTAGTGAAGTTTTGGGGGAATTCAAATTATGGAATAACTGTAATCAGTACTCATCAAATTTTTTGGGTGAATTTTGGGCTAGTATACATTAGCTACAGCTACTGCTTGCCTGAATGGCAAGCTGTAAAACTGTCTTTCTTGGCACCCTTTAACCCATTCGCCCCTGAACCGCCCGTAACCGCCCGTGCGGATCCAGGTCCTTTCTACCCTTTGTGACGTCATCAGTTTTAACGATCAAGGACAACTTTCTTCGAACACGTGTGCAGAATGAAGAGATCTTTCAAACCATACCAGAATGAGCACAATTCAGTCAAGGACACCGGAGAAAGAAGCAAAAAACCACGTGACAAGGACCTGAAAATCTCCATGAAAATCTTGTTCATTACCCACCTACCTTTCCTTTCACCTAATCCTAAGATCCTAAAAGCTTTCCTAAAAACTCTTCCCACCAAAATGAAGCCTACTAAATGCCCAGCAAGAGAAAAAAAAAATGAGGCAGGAAAAGCGAAAAAAGAAGGGAGGAGAGAAAGCGAAAAGTAAAAGTCAAGACTGCTGTGTCACTTTTAAACCCAAAAACTATGTCGAAATTTTGCTTTCTGCGCATGCCCGAACTTCGCAAGCTGATATTTTGCATCTGGATCAGAAGGCCGCCAAGTGTACGACCTGTAAACCGGTTTGTGGTAAGTTTTAGCTCTTTATAGCACAACAGTGACCAGAAAACCAGTCGACTAGCTTCAAAACGCGTTTTTCGGCAAAATCTCCAGGAGCGAATGGGTTAACTACGTCATAATAATTTTATGTTGTTAACTACACGTCATTCTTTTTTTATTTCTCCTTATTTTCAAATTATTGTCACGATTACAGAAAACAATTATGCCACCAAGAACCCGCAAAGAAGGTTCCCACACAAATTAATTATGTAAAGTGATAATTATACTTTCCTGCTATTGCTCCGTGGTAATTAATATTAAATAAGTCAGTGCAAGGGTGTCTATAAGATTTGAAGGCTGTATTCTATCACAAACAAACATTAATTTTTAAACAACTTGTATAAAGTTTTGTTTTGCTGTGGTTCTGTTTTACATCATCTTTCAACTATGTTTATGCATACTATCCTAGATTCTGAGAGGACCTTTTTCTGCTCATTCATGAGATTTTCCCGAAGTTCAACACTATGTTTTTTGCATACTTCAACTACCACAACTTAAATAATAGGACCTTTTTCTCCTCATTCATGAGATTTTCCCAAAGTTCAACACTATGTTTTTTGCATACTTCAACTACCGCAACTTAAATAATGTACATCGCATTCTAAAGTGAGTCCACTGCAATGAGAGCTATTAGACAACCCACTTCATGTTTTCATTTCATACTTGCCCCAATCAGCATGTAAATGCCGGCTGTCAATTTTTTTTTACTTCCGAGAAAATCTTTACTACAGTTATTTGTCTGGGTGCAACAAAACACAAACTTAATGTTTGATTCTTAAACAAATTATTAAACATTAAACAAAACTTTTATGACATGAAATCAACTAGAAAATGAGGTCACATAATATATTGTGTTAGGAGAGAGTAAAGTCATGTGATCAGTAACTGTTGATTCTAAGCTTAAAGACCTGTTTGTTTCTACAGTAATCAATTTGACAAGAATGTCTTTGTGTAAAAAAAGGGTTCTTATCTTCGACACAAAATAAATATAATGGAAGTTACTTTATTTCTAAAGAAACCACTTGAGAAAATTGAATTACAAAATGCAATTAAATATACTGAATAAATTTATAAGGCACTTAAAAAAAACAAATATAAAATTCCTAGCTTGAGAAGTTGCAGAGAGAAATGAAGGTTTCTGCAGTGTTTATAGCCAATGGCAAACCACGGTAACAAAGAAAGCCACTGGAATAAAATTACAACAAAATTTTATCCAATGATTACACATATAAGTTGGCATCTGCCAATACCATAAATCTTTCAACCACAAGAAGAGCCAATTTATGCAAACACTGATTGAAATTTTGAACATATTGTACAAAGGCATGTTTAAACCAACTGTATTAGAAATACAGACAACAGAATGGTTATCTTGGGAAAACGTACGTAAGAGGACATTCGATCTGGTTGCTAATTGACATTTCATTTAGAATGTATTAAATAAACATAGCGATTTTAAAGTCACGAAAAATAACAAACTCAGAGTATTTGGATCTAGCACTCTACAACTGATAAAATTCACTGAAAGGAAATTTGTCTTCACAACTTTGAGTGTCACACAAAGAAGAACAAAAGTATAATTGCCATCACACTCAAATGTCACAAAACATCCCGCGTGTACCAAAATTAACAGATTACACACCTTGATGGTGTGAAGGTTGCCAAAAATCTCCCAAAGGAGCCATTGAGACCTCACAAAGGATAGCTCAATGATAATTTTCGCAGTTTGAAAGCGATTATAGCGAGGCTTTCAAAATAATATAATGCCACTGCTTTGGGGGAGGTTGCATTCCAAAGATTTAATCCGCCAACAGAATATAAAAAGTCTTTTGAACCGATTTGGATACCACCAGGATGTAATCCTGCAATCCTGCAAGTGAAACACTTTTAAATACATGCCTAGACATAAAGCGTAAGTCAAACAAAGTGCACATTCTAATGAATGATTACTCACTTGTCGTACTCAGCGTTGTCTTGGTCGCACCGTCGGTCTTTCAACTTACTCCAATTCTTGCCATGTTTGCAGGTCGTTAACAGCACAATATCCTTGCCATTATGAATGTGATAAAATGAGTTCCTTGACTCGCTTCCTATGCCAGTTAGGTAACGTTTCCCTTTAAAAGCAAGTCTATACTTTCTATCGAGCGGAAACACCGCACAGTTTGTCGCATCCTCAGGAACGCCGCTTCCTTTTTGCGGGTGAGTTTTGAGAAAGAGCGGAAAACTAATGTCAAAGCGAGATCTATGAAATTCCATTGACATTGACGCTTTCGCTAATATTGCTTTACCAGTGTTAAAAAGTAAATCTTCGGAATAATCAGGCCACGTTCCCGAAAAAAGATTGAAAATGACATGGTTTATTCCACCATTCCAATGCGGTAGTGCCGCGATTTTTGCTGGCAACTGGTGAACATAATCCTCGCTCAAGTTATCGCGGTCTAAGGTATCGACCGAAGGAATAAATAAACAAGCCTTGCTTGGATCGTCTGTATAAAACCGACTCTCTCTCAGTACTTTTAAAACTTTCCCAAATAAAGGAGAAATTTTCTCCCCGGGTTGAATCGGATAAACGTAAACTTTGAAGTCATTTAGACATTTCGTCCTATCAAAACATGTCTCCATAGTGCATTCTGTATTCCGCAAGGCTGCACGTTCCTGACGAAAACCAACTCTGTCCTGTAGACTAAATTCATCTTTGTTATCTACAAAACATAACCTTTTCTGTCCCAGCTGAACTCCCTTGTTTAGTCGAGTAATAGGTCTTGCAGAACGACGCCCGGAGTGGATCGACTTTCTGTACACGATGAAGGCACTGCAGCATAGTAAACTGATCAAAAATATCAAAGAATACCTCTTCTTTGCATTCATCTAAGTCCTTGGAACTTGTTTTCATTTATAAAGCCGTAGTTCCCCACCAAAGCCTCTAAAAACAAGGATATACAGAATATAAATCGTCGAGGAATATAACAACTACAAGCACAGCACATCGTGCCATGACATTCAGCAACTGATGGATAGCGGTGTTGTGACGTCAAAGAGAAACCGGAAATAGGAAGATAACTCAAAAACGGAAATACTGCGGGGCGACATCTGACACCGAAAATAAATTGTTACATGATAAAATATTTTTACCCTTCTAGAAAAAGATGCTAGAATACGGTAATCGCTTTCACTCTGTACACGCATTTTTCCTTGATGACTCAAATATTCCCAAGGAAGTTTGTACAGACAAGACTAAATTTTAATGCGTAAATGTTAATGACAAGTCTTCGATCTGATTTTTAAGGGACTTGTCCCATGACGTGTATTGTAACAAAACTAAAAGTGATCTTTAAAATAAATACGACAGTAGAAAATTAACAGACGCCCGTCTAACCTGGTTTGAATCGCTGGCGGGATCGAATTCTTGAGATACTTAAAAATTGCCAAAATTTCTTTCTGCAAAGTCTTTAGGCTTATCGAGTTTTGTTTAACCTAAAATGATAAAAAGACTCTCTCCTCCACAGAGGGTATTGTAAGGAGGCGGGGGAAAAAGAAAACGAAAGCGCGCGCTTTCTATTTTTCGATGTATTGCTATTTTTATTGGGATGCCCAGTGGGAGCCTCTACAGAGGAGAGAGATAAAAAGGGGAGGGACTTTTTAGTGCATGCCTTGCCCCAGGGTTTTTCCGTTCCATTGGGAAGAGGTTCCTTCCGGGAAGCCAAAAGTTCCCTGCTCTGAAAGAATATTTTACTTAGTAGGTTTTAGAGGGTCTTCACATGACGTCACCAAAATTCAAACTAAGAAACTATCGATTCTTCTGAGTTTCTACTTTCATGAGGTATTACAGCACCTAAAAACCTTTATTTACACAAATTTTCGATACGAAAGGGTTCTTCGTTTTGCGACGGAAGACGCTTGAATTTCTAGGCTTTTGCGTGACGCGGCATTTAGCAGGCGACGTTCCTTGTCTTAGAATAAATATTACTTTTAGCTTTATCAGTTCAACCCGGATGAATTCACGCATCAAACACTGATGTTTCTGTTGGTTTCCGGCGGCCATATTTGTGCCCCTCAAAGGGACATCAACATGGCGTCTCCATACAAAACCTTATAAATTACAAGACCTTATTCTTGGCGAGGCTTTTGGATATTTATCGTCTTTCATTTTCCAGATCCTGGACTTTTTCGATTGACCGGTTTGCATTTTTATTTTTCATGGCGTGACAGTGAAAACACAGAATATCGCCGTTTCTTCTGAAAAAAACTTTCCGGTTAATTTTTACGGACTAATGTAAACGAGGTATCGGATTAAACGCTATGGACGAACACGTGTTCTAATCCTTAGGAAAAACTCATAAAAGGAATGAGAACAGAGAGTAATTAACACACACAACACAAACAGAAGATGAGTCATCTTTGAGAAAACTAGGCTAAAACTTAATGAAAACTGTCATTTTAATGTTAATAGTATTTTATGTTTTTGAAAGGGTAATTCGAAGTTAGTGAGCAGCAAACTGACTGGTCCTTGCTTAAAAGACTGAGAAGAAAGGCCAAGACAAAGTAAAATAAAATGCATTTTGTGTGTGTGTGAGGCCAAATTGAATGTAAGAAGAGTAAACACAACTTTTTGTTTGGAAAACCGCTCACAGATCCTCACAGCTTCACTGGATTTTCCGCAGATGCCTTTCATTTAATTCTCCGCATGATGATCGCATGATGTATATTTTTTTGTCGCTACCAACTGCTAACTGTTGAACATTTCGATTTCTATGATTAAGCATGTTATGATTAAGTCCAGCTCTTTTACTTTAAGTCATTAGGGACTTATCAAGTTATCTTCAATGAAGCACGATGCCTGCAGGCAAATTCCCGAAATTAAACTACAAGTTCCGCCAGATAGACTCCTTTTTCAATTTACACTCTTTTTCAGATAGATAAACAGTTCTCGGATGTAAGATTGCAGATGAATGCGCGTTGAAAAATTTGACAGTTACTGGTTCATATAGGTCGCGCGCATTTTTCTGTCTATGGGACCCCGGTAAAAACACACTTGTATGTCACTAGCTTTCAGCCAGTGCCGTGACAAGATGACCAGTTCACGTTATTTTCTTTCACTTAAGTGAGAGCAATTTTCGGTTTTAAATTGTTGAGTAAGTTATTACAATAATAAGGTGTTGAGTTTCGTTCTTATTTTTATGAATCAAGGCCATTTCAATTATCATATCTTTTAACGCCACCGCGACCAGATCACGCGCGACACGCGGCAACGTTTAGGTTTGGGTATAAATAATTGATACGGGGTATAATATACCGTTAACCCTCTGCTAAGTCTTCCGGGAGGCTAATTTATTTCAAGCACGTGTGTGTGGTGGTGGTGGAGGGGGGGTGCTTAATAGATAGAGGAGGGCTTTTTTATTAGGGGGGGGCTTATATATAGCGAAGATGATGGTATCATTTCGCCGTGAGAACAAGAGAGAATGAGGTTTAGTGAGAACTAAAACACAAAGTGAAAAAGCTCACATATAATGAAGCTGGAGGTCAAGGGGCTGAAGATACTGAAGACAAATCCGAACTTCCAGCACCTGAATAAAACACCCGATCAGTCCAGTCGTAATTTAGTCTACCATTTAAGAATAAGGGGGGAGGGGTCATATCATGAATTACGAAAAATGAAAATAGCTCATGGGAAGGGGGGTACTCAACAAAGTCTTACACGGGGAGGCCCCGCCCAAAGGTCCAAACCCTTTATGTACACCCTCAGTTATATACCATTTTTAACAGAAAAAAAAATACCTCGTTCGTGTACCTTCTATTGACAAATGGTACCTCTTTCACATACTTATTTTAGTCATTTGCATCTCTTTTAAATGTTAGTTCCCTATCCATTTACTACACTTAAACTAGAGAAATCCCTACCCTTTTAACCTCTATCAAGCGGCCTCTTGTAGGCTATCATAGGGAGATTCCAAAACATATAAGATATCAGCAAGTCCACAGCAACAAACCAATGAGTCATGCGGAAATCTTCCAGTTGTAGATCTGGATCAGTACAGTAAACTTGTAGACAAAATATGAAACTGCAAACTGATCCTTATAGCAAGGCGATGAAGAATTACGTAAACAAAAGAGTAAAACAAAAATATATATAATTAAACAAATTGCCCAATATTTCGGTTTGCAATCAAACCTTCTTCAGCCCCTGAAGAAGGTTTGTTTTCAAACCAAAATATTGGGCAATTTCTTTAAAAATATATATTTTTGTTTTACTCCTTTGTTTAATTACGTAATTCTTCATCGCCTTGCGTAAGGATCAGTTTGAGGTTTCATATGATAGGGAGTACCCCCCGTCCCCGATAGTTCAATGCTCCACTACTGACTTTCGTTTTATCTTGCCAGTTTCTTCCGCATTTACTACAAAATAGTTCTGTCAGTAATTCTGGAAATAAAAAAAAAATAAACGTTTATCATGATTCCTTTCGCACTTTGAACCGTCTACATTGCAGCACTCATAAAAGTCTAGATCATGCAGATTCAATCTATCTACCAACTGGTCGGATTTAAAAACATTGCTGTACAACTCGAATGAACCATTTTCATTATTTTTTCTCTCTTCTAAATAATTTGTTTCAGGCCTTTTATCCAGTTCTTACTGAAGTTTAGTATGTATTGGAAGCAATTAGAAACTCAAGGAAGTTGAAGAAATTTCGTATTTAAATGAAACAGGATGAACCTTTTTTTGTCGGTATTAGCGTGGAGATAAATATTGAATTTCACAGAGTTCAATTTTCCTGTTCGGCTGAAACAGGGTGAAAAAGCTTAAGGTAACGGTTTTTTTACTTATACCACGTATAATTAAGGAGAAACTTGATAAATAATTTGTTTCATGCCATTTATCCAGTTCTTGCTTTAGTATAGTATGTGCTGGGAGCAATTAGAAAGTCGAGGAAGTTGAAGAAGTTTTCTATCTATACTTGTCTTAGCGTAGAGATAAATATTGAATTTCACAGAGTTCAATTTTCCTTTTTGGCTGAAACAGCTTGAAAAGGCTAAAGGTAAAGGTTTTTTATTTATACCACTTATAATCAAGGAGAGCCTTCAAGTTAAGAATGGTTAGAAGTGGACTTAACTTCGCCGTCTTAAGGTAGAAACTGCAGTATCTACTCGAGAGCGTACGAGAAGGACCATATATATATATCCTTATTATTATTATTATTATCACCATCATCATTATCATCATCATTGTCGTCGTCGTCGTAGTCGTCATCGTCATCATCATCATCATCATTATTATTATTATTATTTCACTTCTTACACTTTCAATTCAAGTATTTTTGCTCTCTGTATTAGGGACCGGTCATTATTTATCGCCCGGGGGGGGAGGGGGCGGAGGATTTTAGGGGGGATCACTTGATTTTTAGGAGAACAAAAGGAGGGATAAGTCGTAACTGAGAACCCAAAATTAAGGGGGAATCGCTGAAAACTTTGGAAGGGTTCAGAAGGGGGACACTCAAATTTGCTTGGAAAGTGAAGACATGGGTGGTGGTGGTGGTGGTGGTGGTGGTGGTGGTGGGGGGGGGTGATCACGAAAGTCATCAAACGTTATTAGGGGGGATCGGCTAAATTTCACCTTGCTTAGACCCCATCCTCCCAACCCCCTCCCCCCCGTCCTGGGGTGGCGTCAATATTTCCGCACAAGCACTATTACCGCGTCTATGTCGTATGTACACACCCATACCAAGAAAACGTAGTTTTAAAGATAGTTCTCGATTATATATTCAGCATATTTGAGCACCTGTTACAAATAAGTTGTTTCCGTTTCGTAATCAGCTGGTGTATGACGTTATTCTGAATAATATTGTTAGTCTGTTAAATATTACCATACTCATAAAATATCCGGCATCAATCAACACGTATAATCATCAGTGCGTGATTTCATTTTTTTTTTTTTTTTTTTAAAAAAAGACCTTGAGTAGCCTTAAACTTTTCTTAGAAACGGGATGACATAGAGTGATCCCCTCCCGGCGAGAA